GGGTTTAGGGTTTAGGGTTTAGGGTTTAGGGTTTAGGGTAGATAGGGTAGATGTTGTTGTATTAGTATTATTACCAGCAACAATAGCAGCATAGCAGCACAACACCGAACAGCAGCAACAGCAGCAGCAGCAGCAACAGCAGCAGCAGCAGCAGGAGGAGGAGGAGGTTGTGTGTGCATGCATGCAGGTTTACCTATGTGTTTGCTGCTGACAGCAACAACAGCAGCAGCAACATATATAATAGATAAACAGATGGAGGTTCGTTACTGGAGGAGACAGTCCCTTTCCTCTAGGGAGCAGCAGCAGCAGCAGCAGCAGCAGCAATTGCTGCTCTTCTTGCAGCAAACTACACCAGTAGATATGTTAGATAACTCTGTACCTGTACCTGGTAAACCTATACTGCAGCAGGAAGAGGAGGAAGAAGAAGAAGAACAGCAGCAGCAGCAGCAGCAGCAGCAGAAACAATAGGAGCAGCAGAAGCTGTGGTAAGAGCAGCAGCAACAGGTGTCTTGCTGCTGCAGGGAGAATATGGCTGCAGCAGCAGGGATATAGCTGCAGCAGCAGCAGTGTAGCTGCAGCAGCAGCAGTGTAGCTGCAGCAGCAGCAACAATCTAGCTGCAGCAGAAGTGTAGCTAGCAGCAGCAGCAGCAGCAGCAGCAGCAATATGGCTGGTGCAGCAGCAGTGCAGCTGCAGCAGCACAGTAGCTGCAGCCGAAATATAACTGCAGCAGCAACAGCAGCAGCAAATGTTTGTGTATTTGCTGCAGCAACAGCAGCAGCAGCAATAGCTGCAACAATAACATCTTTTATACACTGCAGCAAATGCTGCAGCAAATGCAGCAAAATACATAGTTGCAACACCAGCAGCAGCAATAACAGCAGCAGCAGTATAAGTAGGGATAGCAGCAGCAGCAACAACAGCAGCAGCAACAACAACAGCAGCAGCAACAGCAGCAGCAGTAATAGCAATTGGTACAGCATATAAGTAGACAAATAAATATATATTAAGACAAAAAGATGTTTTGCTGCTGCTGCTGCAGCTGCAGCAGCAGCATCAGCAAAATGAATTGTTGCTGCAGCAGTAGCATCATAGCAAACAGAAGTGCTGCTGCTGCTGCTGCTGCTGCTGTTGCTGTTGCTGTTGCTGTTGCAGCAACAGCAGGCTCAAAAATCTCTGCTGCAGCAAAATACCCTGCAGCAACATCTGCAGCAGCAGCAGCAGCAACTGCTACTTTTTGCTGCTGCAGCAACTACAGCAATACTACTCTTATATAGGCTACTGGATCAGCAACAGCCAAAAAAAAAGGCCTTATTCCTTCTGTTGCTGCTGTTGCTGCTGCTGTTGCTGCTGCTGTTGCTGCTGTTCCTTGCATCTTTTATTTCTACATATAAATATTTCTCCCTAATAACTTCTTCTTCTTCTTCCTTCTGCAGCAGCAGCAGCAGCAGCAGCAGCAGCATCAGCAGCATCAGCAGCTGCTACATTTGCTTCTGCAACCCCATTACAGTTGCACTTGCTGCTGCACTTGCTGCTGCTGCACTTGCTGCTGCACTTGCTGCTGCACTTGCTGCTGCATTTGCTGCTGTTATTTATTATTGTAGAGGTTTAAGACCAAGATTATGTCTAATAGAATTCCATTCAGGGACAGATAATTCATCCTTATGCTTCTTTATCCTGCTGCTGCTGCTGCTGCTGCTGCTGCTGCTGCTACTGCTGCTGCTGCTGCTGTTGTTGTTGGTGTTGGTGTTGGTGTTGTTTGTGTCTCTTGTTGAATGTCTATCTCTATCTCTTTTTATTGGAGGTTTCTCTCTATACCTATCTCCTCCTCTATCTCCTCCTCTGTCTCCTCCTCTGTCTCCTCTGTCCCTCTCTCTGTCTCCTCTATCTCCTCTGTCTCCTCTATCTCCTCTGTCTCCTCTATCCCTATCTCTATCTCCTCTGTCTCCCCTATCTCCTCTATCCCCTCTATCCCTATCTCTATCTCCTCTATCTCCTCTGTCTCCTCCTCTATCTCTGTCTCCTCCTCTGTCTCCTCTATCTCTGTCTCTGTCTCCTCTGTCTCCTCTGTCTCCTCTATCTCTGTCTCCTCCTCTATCTCCTCTATCTCCTCTATCTCTGTCTCCTCCTCTATCTCCTCTATCTCTGTCTCCTCTATCTCTGTCTCTGTCTCCTCTGTCTCCTCCTCTATCAGTTATATGATGATGTATAAGAGTATCCCTTCTATCTCTTCTATCTCTTATCCAATCCCTATCTCCTCTGTCTCCTCCTCTATCTCCTCTATCTCTGTCTCCTCCTCTGTCCCTCTCTCTCTCTCCTCTATCTCCCCTATCTCCTCTGTCTCCTCTATCTCCTCTATCTCCTCTATCTCCTCTATCCCTATCCCTATCTCCTCTATCTCCTCTATCCCTATATCTATCCCTATCTCCTCTATCCCTATCTCCTCCTCTATCTCCTCTATCCCCTCTATCCCTCTCCCCTCCTCCTCTATCCCTCTCCCTC